GACGCAATACCATTAGAAGCGAAGTTGAACGGGAGATTCTTAATCAGGAGGTAGTTGGAAATCAAGCCCTTAATGAAATACAAGAACCAATTCCTGAGGTTGTCATACAAGAACAAGAAACTCAACCTGACAATACACAGCAGGATAACGAGTTGCGCGACAGCCTAATCAATGAAATGGCACGCGCCGTAAAAGAGATTACTGGAACAAACCCACTTAGCAGACCACCGCTTCCAAGAGTAAACTCTTGTAAGAAACTAGGTGTGCTGTTACAAATTGTAAACACTGAAATCCTGCCCAATTATGTCGTAGAAGCCCACACATTGGAATATATTCACACGCTGATTTACTGTGCAGCAACAGCAATTGCTAATGTTATGGGCATTAAGACCAGAACACGACGGGGTACTAATATCGGAAGGACAGATAACAGAGTTGCACCTTGGGAAAAAAGGCTGCTAACGAAAATTGAAACGTTATGTAAGGACATTGGTCAAATCACGGAATATGTTCGAGGAACAACAAGCAGAAGAGTAATCAGAAGAGCTGAAGAAATAATGCTAATCACCGCAAGACACTCACAATATAATCCAGAAAACAACACAACACAGCAGTGCCTGGATACATTAAAACAAAAACTTTCCGTTTACTCAGGCCGACTAAGGAGATACAAAATTAGTAACAAATTAAAATCCGACAATATGCTTTTTGAAAATGCCGAGAAGGCGTTCTATCGGAAACTCAATTCTACTGCAGAAAATGCCAATAAATCTTACCCAAGCCAAGAACAAATCCATGAGTTTTGGGAAAATCAACTTTCTACACCAGCTGCTCTTAACACCAATGCTGAATGGATGAGAGATACAACGCACAACTGCCAACACTACGTTACTGCTCCCTACAAACCCTTCACTACTGAAGAAGTTTCGAATATTATCAAAGAACTTCATAACTGGAAATCTCCTGGATCAAATGGCGTTCAAAACTTCTGGCTTAAGAAGTTCTAGAGTATTCATGAGTGCTTATCAGCAATAATTAATCACACTATTTCTAATCCGTAGGAAATAACATCTTTCCTAACCCAGGGAACAACTTATTTAATTCCCAAAGATCAAAATAACACCCAAGATCCAACCAAGTACCGTCCAATTACTTGTCTTCCAACTCTGTATAAACTGGTCACATCCTGTGTAGCCCGGCGTATCAACCAACACTGTGCTCTAAACAATATCATAGAGCCTCAACAGAAAGGATGCGCTAAGGGTTCCATGGGCTGCAAAGAACAACTTATCATCGACTCTGTCATTTCTAACCAAGCGTATAGCAAAAAACGAAATCTCTTTACTGCTTTTATCGACTACAAGAAAGCATTTGATTCAGTGCCGCATGAATGGCTTATAGATATATTAAAAATATATAAAGTCAATGATAACATAGTGACCTTTTTAAAACATATGTTCATTATGTTCAAACATAATGTCGGATTGGAAGACAAAAATTCACCTCCAAATACCTGGTGAAAACAATATCGAAACTGAAAATATTGCAATCAACCGGGGCCTTTTCGTTGAGTCCTCTCTGGTTCTGTTTAGTAATGAACCCACTATCTCAGCTACTGAACTCCACTGATGATTTGTTGTATATGATTTGAAATTAATGGCTTCCACTCGAAACCACTTAGATCAGATGCTAAAAACTGTAGAAAATTTCTCAAATTATATTAGTATGCACTTCGGTCTTGACAAGTGCCGTGTCTTAAATATAATCAAAGGAAAGGTTCAGCCCGGCGGATTCGATATGCAAAACAGCCAGAACATCGAGGCCATGGGTGACAATGATATGTATAAATACCTCGGAATAAAGCAAGCGCGGAAGATTGACCATAAGCAAATGAAAACTGAGATAACTACTGAGTTTATACGAAGGGTAAAACAGCTGCTTCGTTCATATCTTAACAATAAAAATTTGTTTAAGGCACTAAACACCTACGCGAAGTCTTCTTCAGCGAAAAGTATGAACACACCTTACAAAGGCACAAAAACACCATCCTCGAAGTGCAGTAGAAAGAACGACATTACCGCGGTATTTAGGGGGACGAGGACTTATGGATATAAGCGAGCAATTATAAAAACAGATTACTAATTTAAGAACTTATTTTCAGGTGCAGGCGGAGACATCTACTCTTCGCCAAGTACAGGGATCTGGAAATTCAAATATGAAGACAGTGGAGAATGGAAAGTACCCAGACAATACCTATTGTTCTCTCTACTACTGGAGTCATTCCAAAGAACCTCCTAGAAAACATAAAAAAGCTAGGTCTGAATGAACATCTCTACAAGACCATGCAGAAAGCTGTACTGCTCTCAACTTCCAGATAGTACGAAAATTTTTGGGAGATACTCCAGCATATCAAATCACCTAGGGCTTGATAATAACACAGAAAGAGTTCCACCAGAGCTCAATCCTTTTGATACCGTAGGTATCTGGGATGAGTGAATTTTCCCCTTAGAGGGAGTGTGAGCCGTATGGCTAAATCTGATAATAATAACAATAAATAATTAATTATCTCTACGTTTTGTCATTGAAGCACCCACTTTATAAATATTTGTCACCTTTAGTTTCCCACTATCCCTTTAGATTATTTAAGTTCCCCTTTTAGTTCAAAACCCTCTGGCAGATATACCAGTCAGGGTTTTTAGTGGGTCCAAAAGAGTGGCCAAAGTTTGTGGAAGTGAAGATACTTAAGGTGACCCGAGCTGACCCTCACACCGCCCTATGGTGTCGGTTCTGTTCAGGAGAATTAAAGAAATAAACTGCCACATTCTAAATCTAATTGACAGAACGAAGTCTGTCGGGTCCGCTAGTTTTTTATAAAAAAATTGTAACATTGTATAAAATGTTTTTCTCAACAAATTTATTGAGTAAGTTTTTACAACTTAATTGTAAGTTATGATACAATAAAGTAAGGTAGTGAAATATTACTATAAATAACATTAAATTCAATTTACCGGGCTCTTCTGATCAGGAAGATGACAGACAAGAAGTAATTTCTTAATTATTAACAGCTGAGCATAGTGAGCACATCTTAAATCTTATAAACTCATAAAAATAGTAGTTTAGAATTTCCAACAATATAATAACACCTATATAATTTACAACTGAACTAACTTCTACTGATAAAAAAAAGGTACCAAATATACTCATCGCATTAGGTACATACTCAAGATACATTGACAGCTAAAACTTCTACATCAATTTTAACGTTAAATACATCTTTTAAGAAAAAACAATACCCAAAGAAGAAAAATTAGGAAAGGAAGAGAGAAACGGATCCAAGTGTTTGGAAAATGAAGAAACTGTGGAACTCTTCTGACTAAGTATATAATAGTAAAACTGGAAAATTAATGAAAATAAGAGAATTGAGTAAGACCCGGATGTAATGAATAAAAACAGAAAATGTAAATTGAAATTATCAGAAAATGATAAGACTTAATTTATTTAATAATTTTTGAGAAATGGCTGATCAGGACAAACAGAGCAAATATTTATGTAGAAATGTTCTCAGACAAGAGTGAAAGGTTGCAAAGTTAAAAGAGTCCTTAAGAAACTGAACATATAAATATAATTTGCAGTTAGCAGAACACAGACTTAAGGATTGTAAAAAACATTTTTTGACACATTTAGCATAACAGATATGTGGTTAACTACCCTATTGGAAAAAAATTATAGTCAGGAAGGTGGAGGCTTTATAATTGGAGATGTGCATGGTCTCCATAAGAACATAGCAAATGATGTAGATAAAAACATTAAAAATTCTATTCATGTGCATATATATACTCTATTCCAGCAAAAGAATCCCACTATGTAAGAAATTTGATCAGTCTTTAATGTTGCCCAAATTGTATTTGCTGTATAATGAATGGATGTTAGAGAATCACCTAAGTGATAAGCCAGCAACCAAAATAATATGCTTTACATATTGCAAAAATAACAGATGCGAATCTTGGACCCTACTACAAGCGGAGAAAAGAAAGACAGATGCCACTGAAATATTCTGTTGGGGAGAAATGTTACAAAATTCCATGAACCGACCACAGGACAAATATTTCAATTTTAAATGAGCTAAAAGTCAGCAAACGGCTATCCAGCAAAGTTCTCATCTCCAACAATTAAAATAATTTGGACATGTTATGAGAACAGACATGGAAACACTTATTATCAAGGGAATGATGGCTCTATCTCTCATTAGGTGTGGTACATTTTCTTTCCAGGCAACTGAAGGCCTTCCCCTTCTTTTTCTTTGATGTGGTATGTAATTTAAAGCTTTCTTTGGTCATCTATCTTCATCCATTCGCTTCACGTGACCATACCACACTAGATGTCTTGTTTCAATTCTGTCTACACCGGTATATACAGTATTTGTCCTCCTTCTAATACCTTCATTCCTGATATAATCTTTTTTGAATACACCACATGCTCTCCTTAGAAAATCCATTTCTACTACTTCTATTCTTTTTCTATTTTTTTTCTTGATCAGCCAAACTTCTGCCCCATAAGTCATAATAGGCTCTACCAAGGTTCGATAGATCATCAATTTTGTTTCTTGTCTAATCAACATTTTCATTTCTAAAAATTATATAAACTCATGGAATGGCCCATATAGCTGTTGCCCACAGTTACATAATCGCCTTAGGACAGTAAAGTTAAAATCGCAGTGATGATAGCCAATCCTCATAACAGAAAAGACAGGTGAAGAAAATATTTTTTAAAACTTTTCTAATACATTAATTATTGTTATTTGTTATTATTTTAAATATACGTCATTCTATTTAAAAATTTCCAACAATTTTATTTATCAATTGTCTACTCTTTGTTTTGATGACTCACATTTTATAACCAGAGATAAACATTGATTTAACAGTATATTATATTCTATTATTTAAAAAAATATACAAAACTAATTAATTCACTGTGCAATACAATTAAAAAACAAAACTTACTCAACAATAGGCCTAACCACCACATCCAATCTGTTAAGTATCCAAAGCCTCCAGCGCCAGCTCTAACACTTCCTCGCTTATTAAGCCTTATTAAAGAAAGCTTTTTAACTATGAAACTGGAGCCTATAAATATCGACGAACTAATTGCTAGGCAGAGCCCTACGTAAGACTCCGATTTTGTGTAAATCTTAACATCAGTAGGTGCTGTACTAAGCTCCATGTTCGAGTGAAACATTCTAATGCGGGCAGCATTAATATTTTTTTACGTGGGTTTACTTTAATAATACCTTGGGTCATTGGAAAGATAAGATCGTTTAACTGATATGTATTATTTATTACATTAGTATATCTAATCAGTCGGGAGGTAACTTAAGAATGTAAACAAAAAAGTTAGGTTACAATGTTAAGTACTCCTGACTGACGTTTAGAACAACGTCCTACGTGGGATGGTCAAATAGTTGACATTGGTCATATAACGCCACCAGCCATAGATAACTATTACATAAAAACACATTAGACGGGTCAACTTATCTCAAAAATCAAAGAAACCCACTCCCTAACGAAGATAAAGAAATTCAAAACAAGGTGCGTAATTGTTAAATTCAAAGGAAATTAATAAAGAAAGTAATTCAAAAGTTGAACACCTCCGCCTATGAAATTTTTGTAGGGTCTGTAAAATGTAAATAGTTGCCTACTTTACATCGGTTGATGAATGACAATGACAAATGACATAAATATCAAGTGACTCACGTCAGTGACGTAATGACGTTGACGTTAGGCTGATATTTATTTTATTGTTATCAGGTAAAAAACAATTTATATAGGAGGAATTCGTGGAATTCAAGAAACTTCATTTATCATTAGAACAAAAAATACCCCACATCAGACGAACTTCACCATTAACAGTGCATTGAATATTCTACATTTCTTAATTTTGCAGGTGTCCAGGATAAACTATCAATATGGGCAAAGGATTTAATAATTACATGTGTAAAAAGTTCTTCCACCCAGCCTCCAGGGATAATTTAAAAAGGGTAAGTATATAATATATTAATATTTTAAATCAAAACCTATCTATTTTTCAATTCTCCATTGTCATGCTTTAGATTTTACCCATCAAAACATCAGCCCATAATATTCCCTTTGCATAACATAGTAGTTATATATTTATTATTACAGCTTCACTCTGAGAATCTTTGTGTTTTTCTTCCGTCAAGTCTGCGTTTTATTTTTTATCAATTGTAAAGAATAAGTCACTTTCATATTTTGTTAATTTTTACTTTAGTGCCCTATTTCATAAGAATATTTTTTCTATGTCTATTCACAAAATGTACAGTACTTTAATTGCATTGGGTCAATTTCTGTTGATTCGTTTGTAAATTGTAACAATCTACAATATATTTGACAAATGGTTCTATTATCTTCCTATACTGTTGTTAATGCAGAATAATCTTCATAGTATTAGATTTGATATATTATTAAAAATCAAACTAATTTGCAGGTATGGATGGCAGAACAGAAAGCAGAAGCTTACAAAAAGAAACAAGAAGAACTTCGTCAGCAGTATGAAAAAGAACAGGATTTACATGACAACAAAGCTATGCTCAGCAAGGAAAGTAAAGACAAATTAAGCATTAGTTTCATGTATGAACCTCCTCCTGGGGCAAGAAAGGAAAGGGAGAGAGAGGATAATGAGCCTGAATACAAATTTGAATGGCAAAGAAAGTATAATGCTCCTAGGGAGAGTTATTGTAAGGGAGATCAAGAAATTCGAGATCAGCCTTTTGGAATTCAAGTGAGGAATGTCAGATGTATTAAATGCCACAAGTGGGGCCATATTAATACAGGTAAGTGGAAATATACTTCTTCCTAAATCAGTTTACCATAGTCAGCTTTTTAATCTCATTATGGTCAATGCCAACTATTGGCAAGGAAATGAATCAAAACACATGTTTCAAGAAAAATCATATTGCTTAGTTTTATTATTTTTTTTTTAATTGAAAAATAAAACCGGTTTTGTATATCTGCATATTTTGTATTAATTTGAAAATTGTCAAATAACCAATTAATTCTTTCAAATTAAAGCTTGTTAATTTTAGTTGTAGATAAGAATATTTGACTCATTATTTAGCTTGCGCATAATTCACACTGCATTTTACTATGTACAGCTCTTTTTGGCAATCTTTCAGTATCTATTCTCACTACATGACCAGCCCATCAAAGTCTCTGAAGTTTAATGAATTCTGAGATAAGTGCCTCTTTGAACAGTTGGTAAACTTCACAGTTGTACCTGGATCTCCATACTCTGTTTTCATTAATAGTTCCAAATATCTTTGTTAGGACTTTTCTTTCAAAGACTTTCAGCTTTCGTTTTGTGTCTTCTGTAATCACCCATGTCTCGCATCCATAACATAGTTTTGGTCTGATAATAGTTTTGTAGACCTTGATTTTCGATCTCCAGTGTGCGTTTTTGGACCTGAACACATTGGCGAGTGAAAAGTAAGCTTTGTTTCCCTTTACTATTCTTCTTTGAATTTCAGGTTTTTCTGTTCCATCTATCCTCTAGCTCAAGGGTGGTCAACCCGTCGATCGCGGCCTCTAGATCAGTCGATCGCGAACAAGGAAAAAAATATCGGAAAAATAAAATAAATATTACGACAATTATTGGAGTGCTAGCAATCTTAGACTTATGAAGTGTCCACTCTGAACATGATACTATAAATGTTATAGTAAATATGTACTATGTAGTGACTATAAATGGGTAGGCACTTTCCTTCCCTTTTCATTCTGCTATTTTTATCCTGCTAGCGTAAGAGCGAATCACATCATGGTAAATCATGTTAAAAGAAAATTGTTGTTGCTTAATCTGCAATACATGCAGACAGTAGATCTCGAGTCCGATTAAGTTGGCCACCCCTGAGCTCTTGCCTGTGTTTTTTTGTCTTTTGAATATGATCCCATTGAATTTAAACATAATTTTATTAAACCTTTAGATATAAGTTACAATGCGAATCTGGTATACCTATATTCGCCAATATTTTGAATTTAAAAATAAAAAAACAACATTTTCCAAGACAGTTCAATCTGAAGTATTTTTTCATGACAGGTAAATAGTTCTGGTGAGAATTTCAAAAAACATGCTAAAAACAACCTCCCTAATTTTTTGTTTCCAAAATAGACTTCTATGGACCTAATAAGCAGAGAACTAATGAAAAACTTAAAACCTTTAGTTACATTTTTTAATTTTACCCATAATCTCAAACTCTCACTTGTGAGAATGAAATGAGAAAACATATACAAGAGTATTAAGGCTAAAACCATCAATATGGCAACATAGATTTAAAACTGTCTACTTAATTCACTCTGAACTACAATGTTACTAATACTCCAAGTATAAGTACTAAACTTCTTTTATCCTATAAAGGTAAATATATAATTAAGATATGATCAGTGGTCCTCAAACAGTGGGGAGTTAATATTTAATTTCGATTGCTTGAAAAGTAAAAATATTTAATTTCCTATAATTTATGTTCAGTAATAATATTGGATTTTACTGTATTAAAGGCAAATTAAATGAATATGATATGTGTATACAGGGCGGTTAAAACAAGTAGAACAGAATATTTCGAATAATTGAAATTATTTGTCAGCATCAAACGTTCATCAATGTCTCTATAAGTCTCTATCTTGTGTAGAGTAAAAATTATATGAATGGTTTTGCATGCAGTTAAATTGGAAAATACTTGCCAAGTTGTTGTTATGTCCAAATTTGAATAAAATACGTCCAAGACTTTACTTTCTGCAGACACTGTATTAAACATAACCTTGAAACAAATTGGCACTAAATCACTTCTGAGTTTTCAGCAAAACAAAATGTTTAAACACGTGTAGTGCAGTAATTAATACCAAAGCTATTGAAAGTATGCAGTCCAGTAATTAGACTAAAGGTACTTTATCATTTAACTAAAACACACCACAAAGTTTGAATTGAATTCCTGAAACACTTTTTTGTTTCTTCTTTTTAGCAATCGATTTATCCTATTCACTGTCTGATATTTCACTAGCAGAGTCGTCACTATCTGAATTGTCTATCTGAATAATTAGTGGACGGACCTTATCTATAACTCGCTCGGTTTGAAAAGACTGAATGATTATGTGTTCCGTATTGTCTAATACAATTTTGCCATTGTTCTGCCATTATTTGTTCTAGCGGTTTTTTCCATAAACCAAGAACGCTAGCGTCATCTTTTGTTTTGGATGCATGTTTTATCATAAAAATTTTTGGCTATTCCCCAAACTAACTCAATTGCATTATAGTGGCAATGGTAGGGCGGAAGTCGAAGAACTTCATGGCCATATTTAAGAGCCATTAGGTCAGTAACAAAGTTCTTTTGAATTTTGTGCTCTCCACACCTTTGAAGTAAATCGACTTTTAAAAATATGTCACTATGATAAATTTTCTTTTCTGTCAACCACAACTTTATTTCTTCTTTTGTCCAGCTACTTGAAGAAAATCTCTCTTCTACTCTTGAGTGATAAGATGCATTATCCAAGACTATTATGGATGGTCACTCCAATTTTTTTAACAAATTTTTTTCAAACCATTCTTCAAAAATATTTGCATCCATATTTCCATGGTAATCACCTGTATTCTTTGTGGACGAAAAAATTAAACTAGCGTCAGGAATAAAACCCTCATCATTTCCATCATGAAATATAATGTAGCATTTACCATTACCGGAACGACTAGAAGAATAAGATTTCGTGGTGAAATCTTGCCAAGATGATTTTGACATATTTCCGTTAGCGAAAATTCAAATTTCATCTAAAAATATAACTTGCCTTGGACTATCAGACATTTTATTTTTCATGTATTTTCTTAAAAATGCCACCGTTTTGAAACAACATTAGAGAATTCACACAATACTTGTACACAGTTCCTTGTCTTTTATTGTTTGCAACACAGCACTAACTGTTACATGTTCGTTGGCTTTATACATATTATATATAATATATAATTGCAAGTTTAATTGACTGATGTAAATCTAAAGTTTTTGGATGTTGACGATTTCTATTGCTTACTTTATTTATTTCATCCTCACTCATGTTAATAATTCTTCGGGATGTCCTCTCTGAGATACCGCAAGCATCACATGTACGTTTCTGAACTGCCATAGCAGATCTCAATGGACCCATATTATTTTTTTCTAAATTGAAATAACTTTCGACTTTTAGAACCAAACGCCGTTCTTCTGGGGATAACACTATGTTTCGACTGTATTTTATTTTCTTCCAAATTACTCATTTTGCTTTAAAGTATCGCTTTACTACACTACTATAAAAAATAGGTACTTATATACAACTACTACACTCTAAAAAGGATGAGGGTTGTACAACAGACGATACAACCGAACACAAATTATTTAACAGTCAATGCTAAACAGGCATAAACACTGTATTGATTGTGATTGCAAAAACCGTTCGCATGTTTTAAATAAGGTTTTTGCTGATTATGTATTTTGTTAAATTAGTAAAACACAAAAATATAACCCACGACCATCAATTAATTTTTAACGATAACGTTTAACACAAGAAAAATATGATGACGTTTGAATTTTATCTACTTTGTTGATGACACTGTCGTTAACAGAAAGATATTTTAAACAGCATGACTCATTTTTCAATGATTGTGTGGATTTAAGAAATACCTTACTAAACAAATTTTTTAAGTGTGTATAAAATCTTAACTGTCTTTTTTCCTGAGATTACAATTATTATGACACATGGTATTTACTCCTTATTTTTCAAATGATATGTTCTTGTAAATACATAACTTTGATTATTGGGTAAACCTAAATTATACAATATGTCAAATGAAATTAAAAAAAAAATTAACATTGCAATAAAATTATAAACCAATAAACGATAACTTGTTGAGCTGTGCTGATTGAAACAACAGAGCAGTAAAATTGTATTCATAAAGGTAGTGTAAAATATATCGCCGCTTATCTGGTCCGCTAGTAATAAAGTTACCAGCATTTAATTGCAAAGAGGTCTTCTTAGGTGAAAAATCCTTTATATGAGGCATTCAGAAACATAGTCGATCATGTCCATAACATAAGTCAATGTCCGAGATATTGAGAGTTAAAGGTAACAAGCTCTTTACTATTACATAATACACCAAGGAACCTAATCTAAGTGAAAACCTCTTATGTAATAATTGTAATATGTTGTTTAAATAATTAAATTATGCAGTAAATAACCTTTTTAGAAATAATTGGAGACACTTGAAAAAAATTTGGACTTGATTCATTTTTACTCTGAAGTATACAAAACTGGAATTTTAGTTACAAAACATAACGCATAAAAAAATTATTACAATAATGTTCAATGATACCCTCACAGCTCAAGTGGCATTAGTTTTAATCACCATAGACCAGATTCTTCTGAACGAAAAAGACACCCAGTTTTGGCATTTGCGGATGATGTAGTATTGCTAGCAAGAGGAAATAAAGAGCTACAGGAGATAGTAAAGAGAATAATAAAAGCAGCAAAGAAATTGGGACTTTACAAAATGAATGAAGTGGACAGATGATCAGTCCAGGGATGGACAAAAGTTTAAAGTAGAAGTAGAAGAAGGATCATCATATAATTATATAATTCGAAATGATAGAAAGATTTACATACCTAGGTTCAATAATATCATGTAAACCAAACATTAATTAAGAAATACAAACTAGAATAATGGCAGCCAATAGATGTGTACATGCTCTTAGTGGAATGTTAAAAAGTAAGTTTTTATCAAGAAAGACAAAAATACAGTTATACAAAACAACTATCCAACCAATAGTAAAATACTGCAGTGAGACATGGACAATGACAAAAAATGAACAAAATTTACTGGAGATATGGGAAAGGAAAATCCTGAGGAAGATGTATGGAGGAATGATAAGGGACGGTTTATGGATAAGAAGATCAAATGATGAGTTAAAAGAATTATATAATTAACCTAATATAACAGGAGTCACAAAGGCACAGAGACTAAGATGGTGAGGTCACCTAGAAGGGATGCCAAACACGAAGACTGCAAAAAGGGTACTAAACTCCACTACAACTTTAAAAAATAAAAAAGAAAACTAAAAAAATAGATGACCAAAAGGTAGAAAAAGATATGGAAAAAATTGGACTAGAAGGTACATATCGAGCCAGATAGATAGATCTCAGTACATAAAGAAAATCGACAATGAAGAAAGAACAAACTTTTAAAGCCATAGGTCTCTAAGGCCTTTAGTGCTATTGTATATATTACTTTGGAAGTGGTCTGTTATAGCTCTGAAAAGATTTTTATTTGTAGAACATAGATGCATCGCTAACTTAATTTTCGTAAAAAGTGGACTTAATTCACTATGGTTCTGAATGCCTCATATACAACATTGCTTTAATTCATGAGTGAAGACTCCATTGTAATATTAAGTACCTAGTTAATTAGTTTATATATTTTTTAAGAATATTTTCATATTGTCTTCCTAAGAATATCATTAACAACTAACAATTGAATACTAAAGTAGAGAAAACATTTTCACAAAATATAAACTTAAATTTACAAGTTTTAGGAAATATTTCTGACAACCTGTATTTGATAGCCAGACCCTTTGATAGCATTGGGAAGCTTGTTAATGTTGGAAAATTGTGTAGATAAACTATAACATATCTTATAACTGAAATAAATATGCTTCATATAATGATAACAAGTAGCAATATATTGACAAACTACTGTTGACATTAGGTAACAAGAAACTAGGTAATTGATAGCTTTGCAAAGTAGGTATCTTATTTTGAAAACAAAATGATTGCACTTTTCTTTGAATTGCTTGTTTTACAATATGGTGTATGTGCTGAGGTTTTCTTCCTGTTGACATTTTCAGTACATTTCTTGTTTTCATTGTTTCAAAAGTCTATAAATGGTGGCTTTTCCTTCCAACTCAGGTCATGTTTAGAAAGTACACTCCAGACAGTATGAGTGGGGTGTTCATCTACATTTAGCACTATAGTTTTCAAATTCATTACTAAATGGTACTTAAATTTCATAGGAATAAAATGATTGTGTTATCAATAACTTTCAAACAGCATATAAATTACTGATGTTCCATTCAATATAATATAAATATAACAATCCTTTGTAGATAAAGAATGTCCAATGTACAGTCTCTCGATGAGTGCAGCCAGATCTTTAGAAAATGCCACAGTAATGGATCAAAAATCTCTGGTGCAACAGATGTTGGATGATGGATTGGCTTTAAAAAAACAACACGTTAATACTGTTGAAGCTAACAAGCATCTTTTAGTTAGTGAAGATGAAGACGCCAATGAAGAAACCACATTTTTGAAGTCTCTTACCAAGAAGCAGAAAAAAGCTTTATTGAGGTAAATATATTTTTTTAAAAAGTATTTTGTAGCTGTACATTTTCATAACAGATGGCTTAAATTATTTAATTAACAAATTTGCAAATATGTTTTTTGTGGATAGGATTCTGTTATCAGTATTTTGATGTTGCAGTATTATTTATATTTTACAGCCTCTTGTAATATGCTGCATTCTATCTCATCAGCAGATCCTTGTTCAAATGGCTTATGGATCTAATTTTTGTTCCTTACTTTCTTCTTAACTTCCAGTTGAGCAGTTCTGCAAGTATGTTTATTTTAGTCCAAACTAGTTTCTTTGACCTATATACTTAGTACAATTTAAAATTAATTTATCTTCTCTGCTCTTAGGCATGTTGTCTTATTAAATCTCTGCTTTATAATTGTATTCTAAAGGTTTACACTAGTTCTTAAATTTATTATTTCAATCTTTCTCCCTTTCTTTTCATAAACTCAAATTGTGGAACCTTTATATAAAATATATTATATAATGCCTATACACCCCAGCGTGGGGTTAAACCGTGAATGCTTTTGAGATCCTATTTCTTCGGTGGATCAGTCTATTTTGTTTATGTTATCTTCTTGATGATATCTCTCCATTTTTTCCTGTTTCTAGTTTTTCCTCTTTTATTCTCTGACTCCTGCCCTTTGGAGGTCTTCTTCAGCTTCTTGCAGCCACTTTGATCTTGGTCTTCCCCTTCTCTTTCTCTTCCTTCTGGATTCTATTCTATCATTGTGTATGTCACTGCCTCATCTCCTGTTCGCCAAATGTGAACTAACCCTCTAACTTTGCATTGCTTTATTTTAGTCACGATGTCTTCCTTAAGTTCTTCCTTAATCTCTGCATTTGTTCTGCTTCTATATTCATTTTGTTCTGTTCTGATCGGTCCCAGTATGGTTCTCATAATCTTTCTCTCCGCTATTCTTAAGTCTTCTTTATCGTCTTTAACCATCGTCGTTGTTTCTCTAGCTTATAACAATATTGGCCTAATTATGGTTTTATAAATGTTCATCTTAGTTTTCTTACTCAGTGTTTTGCTTTTCAGTAATCTTTTGTTTACAAAATAAGCTTTATTCGCTGCTAATATTTTTTCTTTTATTTCAGACTTCCTTTCTCCGGTTTGGTTATTGTAACTCCTAGGTATTTGAAGTATTCTATTTCTTCAAACTCAGAACTTTCTATTTTGATTTTCTTTTCATTGGCTTGATCCCTAATCTTAATATTTTTGTCTTTTCTTGATTTAGTCTTAGTCCCATTACTTCCCTTTTCTCTATTCTTCTAGCATTTCTTTCATTATTTTCCTGCTATTTGCAATAATAGCAATATCGTCTGTACATGCGATTATTTGACTACCTCTTGTTCTGAGATTGTCTTTATTTATATTTCGTGGTACATATTCTAATGCTTATTAAATAGCGTTGTTGATCAGGCATCTCCTTGTTTTATCCCTTTTATTTATACTGAATTCCTCTGTCTCTCCTCTTTGTGTCTTGATTGTGTCTTATTTTTGTAGTTCTCATTGTCATTTCCATTAATTTTTTGAGTTGATGTCAAATTTTTAATTGTTTAAGTGCTTTCATTAATGCTTTCCTTTTAATTAAATCAAATGCCTCTTTGACGTCTATGAATAACATTCTCAATTCTAATTTATATTCTTTTGCTTTTTCCATTATTTGATTTATTGTGTGTATTGCATCTATTGTAGATCTTCCTTCTCTCCTTCTTTGAATGCACATTGGTATTGTCCTACTGTCTGCTTTTTGATCTTTGATAACCTTTTTATTTTTGATGTCAATATTTTATGTTGTATTTAGTAACGTTATTCTTCTATAATTTTCACAAATTTGTTGGTTTCCCTTTTTATGTATTGTTATGATCTGCTCTACCTCCCAGTCCCCTGGCATTTTCTCTTCTTTCCATATATTTTTTAATAGTGCCAGTATTTTTACTCTTACTTTTTACTCTTATTTTTGCCTTTAGAAGGGAGGAAGTTCCCTTCCCTCGAATTTTATTAGTTCCATATTAATTTCGTATTTCCCAGGGGTTTTTCTATTTTAGCTTCTCTGTATTACTTCATCCAATTCCTCTAATGTTGGTTCTTTTGAAATTTCGATATCTACTTCATCTGCTTCTTCTTCGTACACCGTTTCTTCCTCGTTGTGCATTTCTTCTCGTGTTGTTTCCTCCGTTAAGGGCTCTCTGTAGTAATCCCTCCATACTTGCTTGTATTTTTGATCCTCTATTATCACTGTTCCCTCTCTATTTATTATTCCGTTTGTTTTGCCCTTGTATTTTTTGTTTTGTTCTTTAATCTTTTTGTAAAACTTTTTGTATTTCTGTTTGTTCTTTCCTGCTCTATTTCCTGCATTTTTTGTCTACCCATCTTCTTTTATTTTGCCTTATCACTTTCTTAGCATTCTTTCTTAATTTTTCATGTTCTTCTCTGTTTTCTTCTTTAACTGTTCTTAGCCATTTAATTCTGGCGTACACTTTTTTTTTGTTATTTCTCTACATTCTTGCTTATACCAACCGTTTTATGTTTTATACGGACTTTTACCTACCTGCATATTGCACCTTCTTCTATAAAATCTGGGGTTGAGGTCTCTCAAATATGACATTTTCTTTGGGTAGTTTTTCTATCTCCTCTTCGACCCTATCATAAAAGATTTATTTTTTGTCTGCATTGCTTGTTTCTGTTTGGGCTTATAAGTTTAAAACTGATATAATAAATGGTTTGTTGTCGACACTAACATATCCTTTCGCATATTGGCTTGAAATTTATAATTTTAGTCTCATGAATCCCACCCCTTTTTGCCTTTGCTTCTTTCCTTCTGACTATAACATTGTAAATATTGTTCTGAAGCTATTTTCTTGTGGCATTTTAATGTAATTACTATTTAAAGGGAATAAGGGAGTAATGGTTAAAGTAAGTTTATTGACGTTTTAATTTCCACTTCAAAAATCGTTCTTAAAATACAAACATTAGTGTTTGTATTTTACATATATTTTTAACATAATAAAATATATTACCAATATTATTAATGTTTTTGGTTGCAGAAAGTTAGAAAAACTAGAAAAGCAGCCCGAAAAGAAAAATAAACCCAAATGTGACAGTAGTGATGAATCATCAGATGATGAAAGACAAAGAAAGGGAAAGTCGTCAAAAAAGGTGAAGTCACACGCCAGTAGGAATCGGGATTCTGATACTGACAGTGATAGAAGAAAACAAAAAAACAGAGATGATCGAGACAGGAAGCGAAACAGGAGTAAAGAAAGGAGGAGAAGCAGGAGCGGAGATCGAAAAAGAAGATCTGATAGTGAGGAGCGATATAATTCCAAACGAAGGCGTTAATTATGTAATTTAGACATTTAGTCAAAATGTGTTTATGTAAATAAATGTTTATAAAATAATTCAGGTTTTTAATTAAGTCAAAGTTACTATAGGATTTACTGTGATATGGAATAGCTGTAAAAATTGAACGAGTTACCTAGTACATAAGTGCAAATATTTGTTTAGTTTATTCGGAACTATAATATATCCAGTTATTTACTTTTCGCTTAATTAGAAACAATAAAATATTATAATGGTATAAAATATATTTCGAGAAGTGGTCTACCCGGTTCCATCAGATACCTGAGGTGTTGGCAAAATGTGTAATAACGAACTAAAAGCATATTATATTTCGAACAAATAATTATATTTCAAAATATTGTTTCTGCTTCTGACTACATGGTCAGTAACGTGCAAAATAATTATTCTACAGCTTCAAATATCGATATGTCTCAAACTACAGGTAATACAACTTCTAGACAAACAACTTCGTATGTATCCACAGTTAAATCTATTCCTAAGCCGTCGTTAAAAAAAAAAGACTAAGCGGTAGTATTCCATGCTGATAAAATTCTTACATTACAAAACTATGTTAAAGCTATAGGCGATGCTTTTTTCCCAAACAAATAACTTTTGTTATTTAGAGCAAAGTGTTGGGCGAGTATGCATGCTAAGTTATTAGAAATAATAGGAAAGATACTAGTGAGTAGACACCTAATTTTAAGTTTTCATTAGTAATTTAAGTTAGAAACAAATTGATAATTGGTCTTACTGACCAGATTTTAATGTAAGTACACTTCAGTGTCTTTAGTAAAAAAAAAAATAACTTTTGCTTCTAGGATATCTAATAACAGGATATGTATTTATCTAACAAACTCCAATAAAGTCGATCAGTTATTAAAATCTCATTCAAATATTCAGATAGGGGACATTACCCTCTAAATATTCGCAGACTAGTTTCCCCCACCAAAAGAATCGCCATATCAAATATTTCCCAAACCATACCACATGATATTGTAGAAAGTGCCATAAAAAATCTTGGGCTTCAATTAGCCTCCCCGATTTCATTCTTACGAGCGCGTATCCCAGGAGATGAGTATTTCCACATTCTTAGTTTTCGACGCCAATTTTAAGTTTTTACCAGGACAGACAATTTTGAATTACAAACTTCAGTTGTAATACATTTTGAAGATAATGAAAATAGAATTTATTTTCAACAGATAAAATGGAGTATTTTGACTGCAAACAATCAGGACACATCGCCTCGAATTGCCCTAATCCTCCAACCGTTAATTTAACACAAATTCCAAAATCAAATCCCGCACTGTCCATGAACACAACCGCTCTACTAGATAACACATAGTCTACATACACTTCCAGCTAGGTCCTTATCACAAACACTGCTCAAAATGGTGTAATTACTGTACTAAAACCAGCCTTTAAACGAAGTCGTTCGGAAGTATTGACGACAACGAACGAAAATAGCTCACTAAATCACACTGGTAACATGCCACCGCCCACATCACCTGTTAGCCACATACAGCATGATAAAAACTCAGAAAAAAAGAAGAAACGAAGGGCAAACCTGAAAATAGAAATCGGTCTATTTGAACAAACTAAAAAAGGTATAATAGGCGCTTACAATCATTCATACTTAAGATAACTTAATATCTTTCCTTGATAAAACCTTCGGGAATAACGATCCTTATACAGAAACATTAAAATTTACAAATGGTATTAAATATTTGCTCTTAAATTTGCAATTTTTGTGCTAATCTCTTCAAGAAAGGTCAATTAAATATCGCCTAACACGTATAAATAAAAAAATTAAACTCCATCTCTAACCTGATGAAGCCGAAAGTGTATATATCTCATAATGTAAGTGACGATTATAATAACTCTGACGTATCTCAGCAATCTCAAAAGTCATTACACTAATCAGTAGAAATATTCAAATTAATTCAGTGGAATTGTGACGGGTTTTTTCTACGTCTAGAACGTTTACAACTAATCTCAGACCACTGCCTTCACTTTCTCTGCTTACAAGGAACCAATTTTAATGCAACACATAACCCATATCTTAAAAACTATACTAGCTTTATTAGGACAACACATTTAAAAGCCAACGGCGGGTCCTCTGTTTTTATTTCAAATGTCGTTTTTCTGCATGATGTCCCAACAAAAAAGTGTCATATGGAATATTTATATTCCTTCTAACTATAATCTCGCCAGCTCTGATGTTTCAAATCTCATTCACCAACTCCCAGCTCCATTCATACTTGTTGGAGATTTTAACGCCTATAGTACTATAATGGAGATCTAAAAATACGTTTAATAGAGGTAAAAATATTGAGGATGTTATCATTAATTATGATGGTAACCTTTTAAATACAGGAATTAGCACGTATTTTCATACCCAGTCTGGTTCCTTCTCATCAATTGACCGGAGCATTAGTCACCCTAAAACAGCCCTACTCCTTAGCCTCTAGTCTCTAGATAGTCTCTATGACAGTAATCACTTCCCTATCTTTATCACCAATAATGAAGTTAAGCCGTCTTTTACTAAGAGGAAAAGGGAATATCTCAAAAGCTAATTGGAAACTATTCAGCGCGCCTGTTAAGAATCGAGTTAACGACATTGTTTTTCAAAACAATGCTGATACGGATGTTGAAAAATTTAATAAATGTATTCTACAAGCATTAGAAGAATACATTGTAAAGTACACAATCAATCCTTCCAAAAAATACTTACCATAGTAGAATATGTCCTGCAATCTAGCAGTAAAAGCTAGTAAGAAGGCTTTAAACAAAGGACCCGCAGCTATCCTTATTCCGGCTCCGGTAAAATTTAACGAAAGTTCGGTCAATAATAATTCTCAGTGCATAGATTTAAAAAGTCATTGGGACCTAAGTCTGAAAACTATTATTCTGAAGCTACAGCCTTCTGAAGTTATTGGATTTAGGTGCTCAATGTATGTCAAGCTAACTTATTCACAAAAAAGTAAACGAAAATATTGATTTATGAAAGAACAGAGACATATTTTCCTGATGTATATTTGCACGCTGAATATGAATCAATGGTCAAAATAGATGCATCGTATTTTAGTCTTCAGAAAACCGGCGAAAAGTCTTTGAAAAACTGAAGAACAAAGATAGAAAATGTGCTGCTAGAGAGACATAAGAATTATCTTATTTTCACAAACGCTGCACACTTATTCAATACTAGCATAGCTGCATTTTCGTCTTATCTTCAGAAAACTACTGAAGTGCCTTCAGAAAACTAAGGAACAATCACATTAAGTGCTGTTAGAGCGGCACAAGAAATCTGATGCTTTCCTGACCTGACCTCAGCATGGAAACAGCACCATATGATTTTCAAAAAAACGCCGAATCAATATTAAAAATTAAGAACCGCGGCAGTGATAATTGCTGCATCGACAATACCTAAAATATCACGTTATCGCAAAATTTCTTTAAGATTTTTTTGAAAAAAAAATATAAAATAGCCAGTTAACTTAAGAAAGTTCTTAGTCCGGCAAATTAAGATAGGTTATGCTAGATTTCAATCGTATATGGCAAATTCTAAGTTATCTTCAACTATCTGCATGTTAAGTTATTATCTTGCAAAGCCTAAAAACCACAACATTCTGCTTATATGAGCACGAGTAGGGGAAATATGCCTATGATGGCATGCCATGTGTAATTTGTAAATCGTTTCCTGTCAAACGATATCGGCTGCATAGGCATGCGTATAGACAGTGTTTATTTGCAACGGTAAAGTTACAAACATTTATGAATTTCACAGAAAAGTCTGTAACGGAAAGTGTGATTTGTTGAGTGTTGAACTATTACAACGCACGTTAACACAAACAGTTTTTTGCCGCTTCTCGTCTTAAGTTAAAATATCCAAAGTAAGTATGCAATTTTTGATTAGTGTTAAGCTTCAGTAGGCAATTCATTTTAACTTCTGCCATTGTGGTGCTAGAAGATAACGCTCTGCTTTAAATCTGATGCGTACTTGCCTATGACGGCATAGTAGATGTGTTCCAATGATGGCACAGTATGCCATCACGTGCACATGTTATATGCCATCAAAGGAAAATGAATAATAATTGCAAAAATTTCAAAAACTCAACTTTTTACTTATATTAAGGTAAAAGTAGATAAACAATGATGATAACACAAATGATAAAGATCTTTTACTACATCTATATTGGAATCAAGAAGCTTATATTCTGGTAGACGGCAAAGAAACAGACAAAATTTGTATTCAAAGAGGTGTTAGACAGGGTTGTATGTTGTCCCCAACTTTCTTTAACGTTTACTCAGAAACAATTTTTAACAAAGCCTTGGAAGGGAATGTGGAATTCGAACCGGGGAAGAAACTATTAATAACATCAGATATGCAGATGACTGACTAGAGAATGCTCTAATAACGGACTAAGCATAAATACAACAAAGACAAAGTTACTTGTGGTTAGTAAACAAGACCTCGGCGCTATACAACTAATTGTCAATAATGAACCGATAACAAAAGTTAACCATTTTAAATACCTAGGATTTTGGATAAACGAGACACTAAATCTGGATGAAGAAATTAAAACTAATATAGAAATTGCAAGTGGAGCATTTATGAAACTTAGATCTATTCTGAGCAATTCTCAGTTGAACTTACAGCTGAGAATTAAGTTCCTAAAATGTTATGTATATCCTGTATTACTGTATGGATGTGAAACCTGGATTATGAAGGTTAACATGATTAACAAAGAAGCCTTCGAGATGTGGTTATATCGTAGAATGCTCAGGATATCATGGGTTCAACACATTTCAAACATAGAAGTCTTGAACAGAGTAGGTCAAGGTGAAGGTGACTTGATAAAAAAGAGAAAACTCGAATATCTGGGGCATATAATGAGAGGAAGCAGATACAGGATAATGCAGTTGATACTCAACGGAAAGATCGACGGAAGAAGAGGAGTTGGTAGAAAGAAATACTCATGGCTCCGAAACCTTCGTCAATGGACTTGCTTGTCAGCAGATGAATTATTAAATGCCGAGCAAGATCGAGAACGA